TTTTAAATAAAATATAAAGCTACACGAACAATGGAAGCACATTATGAATAATGCCACTCCTGAGGAAGTGGACAAGGCCATGGGAGCGATGAGTGCCGCCACCTGTCTACTGGACTTGTATCCCTCCTGGCTAGTTTCGACCAGCAGGGAGGTGACACGAGGCTGGATCCAGAGGATTGTAAACACCTCTCTTCGGAAGGGATCTTTCCCGCAACCTTTGAAGGAGGCGGTGGTGAGATCCCTCCTTAAGAAGCCTGCTCTGGACCCAGCTGCTTTTAAAAACTACCGTCCAGTCTCCAACCTCCCCTTTCTTGGGAAGGTTGTTGAGAAGGTGGTGGCCTCTCTGTTTTGTATTTTTAACTTTTTTGGTATTCTGTTTTTTAAACTGTTTTTATGTAAGCCGCCCGGAGTCCTTCGGGATTGGGCGGCATACAAATCTATTCAAATTCAAATTCAAATTGTGGAAGAGCTTTTCTCCAGGTCGGAGAGTAGGACAAGGACGTTGGGAGCACAGTTGGTGCCAATAAAGGGACTCATACCGGTTCTCTGGCTGTGTTGCCTTTGTGCCACGACCTGGGTCATCACACATCCCCAAGCCAAAGACAGGGGCATTCAGCAGGAAGGAGGTTGAAATAATCAAAATGGTGGCAATTGAAGACCCACCCCTTCTAATACAACATAGAGCACAAATCCATGTTTACCATATCATGGTTTGATGAAGGAGCAGTAAGGGGAAGGGATCACATATCTAAGGTGAAGTGGTGCAGCGGCCCAGAGTTGGAGCTCTCGCCTCACAATCGGGAGGCTGTGAGTTTGATCCTAGGTAGAGGCAGATATTTCTCTCTCTGGGCACGATGAGAATATATCTGCTGAACAAAACTCCATATTGGTGATAGGAAGGACATCTAGCCCTTAAAACACTCTGCTCTGGGTTCACTGAGAATGTATCTGCTGAGCAAGACTCCACATTGGTGACAGGAAGGGCATCCGGCCATTAAAGCACTCTGCTAGCTCCATTCAGTTGCTCAAACTCCACCCCGCAAGGGTTTATGGGGGTCGTTCAAGGAAGATGATCGGCTTTTAAAAGTCCCGGCGGTATTAATTTTAGAAGCAGGCAGGCGCAATGCCCTATGGCAATCAGAGGTTTGAAGCAAACTCTTTGGCGGAGCAAGCATGAAAATTCAGCTCCTGAATGCTGAGCAACTGACATCATTAAACGGGTAAGTACACAGTCTCAAGAGAAGATTTGTCAGATTTAATTTTAGGACTGTGTGTGTGGCGTCTGCTATTTTTCTGTGTGTATGTGTGTGTGTGAGTGAGTGAGGGAGGGAGAGAATCAGAAAAGGAATAGGTCACCTTTTCCCACTTAATGAGAACAAACAGTAAGTTTCCACCTGAGCACCAATATTAGCAGGGGAAAGTAGAACTTGTTTTGCCTTTCCTGCTGTTTCCTTAGCTGCCTTTCAAAAGCAACTTGGGTTTTTTAATTCCCCCCTCCTTCCTTCACTTGCCAAGGGTGTAGTAGCCAATTCATGATGGAGAACTTCCAGGTACTTCCTCTCGATTTCCATCATAAAAAAATAGAATAGTAGGGCTAAAGGGACAAAGGAGGTCTTCTACTCCAGGGGTCCCCAACCTTTCGGACTTCAGGGGCCACTAAATTCGTAATTTTAAATCACGTGGACTACTAATATGGTCTGCCTAATGACTGGCTGGGTGGGCGTGGCTAGGTGGTCATATGACTGGGTGGGCATGGCCAACTCGGTGTCACTCACATCGAGGGGCGCCTTGCCAGCCTCTACTCGCCTCTCCCATTGGAATGAGGCCCTCTGGCTCTTCGCCACCAGCAGCTCTTCCCTCCAGCCTTCGCCTAAAGCCCTGCACCAGGAGGCCGAAGCAGACCCCGGTTCGGAAGCTCCACTGCCGTTGCCTTGAAAGAAAAATTCCGCCGGGGAATAACCTGGCATAAAACATTATAAAAATAACGTTTTCCGCAAAATAAACTTGCGGTAGATCTGGCAAGCTTCAAACCTGGTCACCATTTTTGGTTGGGAACTGGAGAGAATCCCTTGATGTTCTTTAAACTGCCAGTGCCATCTAGTGGTTGAAAAGAAGGGGACCTTGGAGGTCTTCTATCTCTAGTCTCACTCCATTATTGTTGGGTTTTTTTCATTTGTATATTTGGTTTTTTATTTTTTTTTGTAAGCCACCCACAGCCACCGAGAGTGAGTGGGCGGCTGTATAAATTCTCTCTATAAAATAAGAAGGCAAGCAGGAAAGCAGCCTGAAGAGCTGGCAGCAGAGTTGGACAGCGAGGAGATTGGGGAGGAACCTGGGCCAGTCCTGGAGTCTGGGGAAGGCTCGGATGAGGGCTCTGCGTCGGAGGCAGAGGTTCAAGGTTCATTTTATTTATATGCCGCCCTATTCCCGGCGGGACTCAGGGCGGTGCACAAACCCAGA